CGCCCTCGCCCTCGCCCTCGCCCTCGCCCTCGTGCTCGTTGTTCGGGTGAATGGCTTTTTCGGAACCGGTTACCGTAGGTACACCGGTACACCATGCAGATGAGCGCCAAGCGTACGCGCGCGGGCATGCCCGCGCTTGCAATTACCGACGTTATGCACTCACGCACGTCCAACTTGCGTTAGCGTGTGCATTTTCTCTCCTCGAGACCTCGACCCTGCCCGGGGGGGCTGTTGCCGCCCGCCCGCCCGCGCGCGCGCGCACTCCCGCGCCGTCTGCTGCTGCTGCATGCTGCATGCTGCAGCGCATGCGCATGCGCTGCGCCGCCTCGAATTAGCGCCAGCCACACGAATTGCCTCGATGGAAATATTCCGCGCGCGCGCCACCATGCAAAGAAAGACGCCGGCGAGGAGGAGCCCTGGATGGAGAGGTGTAGGTTTCGCTGTAGCTGCGTTTGCGATCGGTCGATCGAGCTAGCGCGCGGTCTAGCGTTCCCGCACTCGTTGTCAACGTTGCGGCTGATGGGCTGGCTGGCGACCCTGCACGCTCGGTCGCTCGCACGCACGACGTGCTGGCTGCGCGGGTGTGTCGGGCTCGTGACGGTTGTTGCGCACCCGACTTGCTCTTGCTCTTGGCTTCCATTCAGCCCGACCACGCATTTAGCATCGTCGAGACTGCTGGCAGCCATGGCTGAGCATGCATGCATCAGCAGCGCGTCGCTTGCTATCATGCTGCTTGCTGTCACAATCGTGAATCTCAGCTAGGACATTGCGCGATCGTATGACTTTTGTGCCCGATTCGTGCTGTCGCTGTCACGGTCGCGCATTGCTACAGCGACCGAGCTTGAATTCTCCGGCCGCGATGGCGTATGTATGTATGTATGGTGCTGGCTATATCGGTCTCTCGCCGCACCGCACCGCACCGCAGCCGTGCAGCAGCATGGCCCGCTCGATGGGGCAAGTCGTACACTTTTGCTCGTGATGACGCTAAGCGCCCATCCACACACACCACCCCCTGTCGCTCCGCTCATTCAGCCGATAACGACATTGACCGAACAACATCGAATGCGGGGGAGGGGGGAATGGGTGCTTGATGCGGACCCCCATCATCTTGATCACGATCCAGTCGCACTCGTGACTCTCACGATACACGCACGCGCACGCGCGCGATTCCTTATCGCTTGCGCACGCACTCGGCGCACGCACACGCACTCGCTGCGTCACGGTATATAGCTTGCTGACTCGTCTGCTCGATCACAATTACCCCCCCCTCGCTCCTTGCGTCACTTTGTTTTGCTACGCAACAGCTTGCCTTTTCCGACTCTTGACCTGACACACGCGAGCACGCTCGACACGCAAGCACGCTCGACACGCAAGCACGCTCGACACGCAAGCAAGCACGCCCGCGCGCGCGCAAGCACTCCCGGCACGCGAGCACACCCGCGCCTCGCCTCGCCTCGCCTCGCCACCCATGTCTGTGCCCAGCTCTACGCTGCTAGCCCAAGCCCAAGCCCATCATCCCACACCGGATCTCGCACGACGCAACCACTGTGACGACGACGACAAATTCACCGCAGCTTCCATCCCACGAAGCTCCATGTCGTCATACCCTTTGCCATGGAGCAACTTTGCGTCCGTCGGCGGCGGCAACAACAACAACAACACGAACGCCGGCGTCGAGGGTCTAGCCATCTCCATGACTGGCGGTCAACCTCTACCTGACAGTCGCCAAGTTCTAGCGCAACTCGCCGGCAACGTTGGTGAAGCTCGACTTGCGGGCAACACCCCGCCGCAAGCATCCTCCTCCTCCTCGTCGTCGTCGTCGTCGTCGCTTGCACAGCCGTGGTTCAACGGGGGAGCAGCCATCGAGCGCACACCCCATGCTGGTTTCGCCGGTCCATACTGGAATTCGTATGTCGTGCCTTTGACTGAGCATCCACATCACCCCGCCGGCGGCGGCGGCGGCGGCGGCGCCTTTCGCCCTGCTGCCAGCTCCTCACCCAGTCCCGGGCAGACGACGGTGGCCAGCGGGCTCGTCGGTGGTCACCCTCGTCAGTATGGTGGGGCCAGCGAGCCTCGTCAGTATGGTGGTGCCAACTACAAGAACAACAATGCCATCCTTCGACCCTCGTCGCCTTTGCTCGCGCCCCCGCATGCGCCCTCGCATGCGCCCTCGCATTCGCTTCATGACAGTCCTACGCGCCCACAGGATCTCTTTACCGACTCTCTCCATCGAGCCAATCGCAACAACTACATCACTGGAGTCTACAATTACAGACACGGCAGCGGCGGCGAAGCGAGCATCGCGCAACAGCAGCAGCAGTACAGCGGCGGACCTCTACGTGCAAGGCGAAGCACGGAAAAGAGCGCACACGATGCTGCTCTCGCGCCATACCAGCGCCGCGTCCAGCACGCTCCACCTGCTGCTGCTCATGCCCACGAGTACGCCGCACGGCTCACGCCCAAAGAGAAGCGAAAGCTGGATGAGCGTGCTCGCGTGCTGGCTGCCGACGCTTGCAATTACGACGGATTCAAACCCATGCGCGAATTCTTTTCCTATGCCAGCGATGACGAGATGTGGGAAAAGGTGGCAAAGAAGAGTCACTATGCCGATCAGTGAGTGGAAGCGCGCCGCGCACGCGTGCGGGCGCGCGCTCGCTAACATACGCCCCGTCCGCCAGCGTCTTTGTATACTACAATAAGCGCACACGACACTATTGTCGCCCTTCATGCTCTGCCGACAAAAAGGTCGCTCGCGAGGACATTGAGTATCACTTTAAGCCCGACGGCGTTGCGAGACTCGCTGCGAACAAGGAGATCAAGGCTTGCAAGCGTTGCCATGCGGATCAAGACGGCGTGGTGAATACGACTGCCATTCGGATTGGCGAAATCGCTCGCAAGCTGGTGTGCAGCTCGCGCGACGAAGAAGAGTTGTTGGACGCCAGCAGCGCGAGCGCGAGCGCACCGCCGCCGCCGCCGCCGCCGCGTGCCAGCTTAAAGGATAGCGCCGACAGCTGCAACATTTCCCACTTTCACTTTCACCGCCAACTCAAAATCGTCTGCGGCATCACGCACGGCGAGCTGGTCAAGGGTGTGCAGGCGATGCAGTTGCAGGATGAATTGGGCAGAGACTCGACCGAGGATGGTAGTCAAGTCGCTCCCATGGTCATCGATCGAATCCTTCGCGGCTGGAGCTTGCGTCGTGCGCGTCGGGCTCTCGGCGGCTTGACGCCTCAGCAATTCGCTGCTGCTGGTCACCAGTACGACGTTATTCTGGCCGTGACCGAGACGCCTTATGGCATCATTAGCGCCCTCATCGCCGAAAGTCCACTGGAGACGAGGGGCATGGAGGCGGAGCAATTCAGCGGCGGCGCCATCCTTGGCCTGGCCATCGGTCTCAACTCTGAGCAACGCATGCGAACGCGATTTCCGTCTGCGAAGCGTGCACACGACGGTGCGTGGGAGAGGGAGATTCGGGAAATGGTGCAGTCGCACATTGATGGGTGCGATAGGGAAGACGACTTGCCGCGGGATGTTGCGCCCTATGTTCGACGCGTGCGCGTGTACTATGGCATTCGTTGCGCCCTCGAG